GGCCACCCCCTGCAGGTAAGCCATGGAGCAGAGCTAACAGAGGGTCAGAGAGACTGAACTCCAAGTTCCTCCTTACAGAACTGAGTAAACAGTGTGCACAGTTCACTTGTGTACCGTCGAGTGAGGAGAAATAAAGAGGACAGGCAGTTTTCTTCTCCCTGTACTCCCTGTGGCGGGCACTTGCCCTTCTTTTATACTGCCTCAAAAGCCTCCAGTAAAGTAGTGTAGTGAGTATCTGAAAAGATTGTTCCAGTGTGGTTCAAGTGGCAGTGGAACCCTGGGGACCCTGCTCCAGTGTAGAGAGTCTTCAAGGGTATGCAAACAGTGGGGTTCTGCCAGGGTGAATGCTGATGTCTTAAAATGTATTTGAAAGCAGTTTGATGAATGTTTTCTCTCCATAGCTTTTTGTTTTCACAGATGGAGAAGTTAATGACACATTTACTCTCATTAGTGAGGTTAAGTTAAACAGCATCCATTCAACAGAAAGATGGCTTTTACTGTGCTAAATGAACCCTATCAGTGTCTTATATAACTAATTCTGTATGATGCAAGGGGTGAGCCTGTTTTCTAAGGTACAGAATGACTCAAAGATTCAGTTGATCATTTATTTTCCTCTACAAAATTTAAAAGTAGTTTTCCAAATCATATCAACAATACATTTTTTGTTTCTTCTTTTTCTAAACCATTGAAGAAAGATGTATTGAGCTATGTTTTTATTACAAATATATGTGACTAATTAACATAAAAAATACTCAATCCATGAATATCCAGGCACACAGGCCTAGGAAAAGATCTGGAACATCTCTTTCTATACCTTTCTACTACTACCTAGTCAAAGTCCCAGCTCATGTATAATTCGCAATTAGTAAGATCATTTGTAATTGTTTTGGGATCACACCATTGAATTTCATGATATGCTCTCTTATTGTGTGTGTCAAGTTTGTTATTCATTTCACTAGACTGTGGAAATGTGGACATTTTTGCATAAAGTTAGAGTCACGTTTCATTCATATTCATTTCACTAGAATGTGGAAATCTGGGCATATTTTGTATAAAGCTAGAGTCAGATTCCTTTAGTGTACATTTTCCTTGAGGTGACTGCAGTTTCATTTGTATTCATGTGCATGCTGAAGTGTATTGGGGGGGTAAAGTAATTGCATATTGTGTTACATATTGCAAGCACTCCAGTGGAATTTTAATGTACATAGGAGGAGTGCTTTAAGCTAAATGCAAATAATGCAATATTTTTCAAAGGCCTTGAGCATCTCCATGTTGGGAATTCATGTGAGATATAGAAACCATCCCCATGGAAAGCAAAGCACAGCTACATGAAGGTGTTTATGAACAGAGATATTGCTTTAATTTGACAAATTTGTCCAATTTCTAAGGAATGGAAAATAGATTTACAAGACACAGAGCTGATTTAAGTCACATCAACTTTACAAATGATTCTAGGTTGTTTTAGTTTCTGAAAAATTTGTATTATTTTTCTTCTAAAGTTTGCCCAGACTGAGTAGTATCTTTCTATGATTTTAAGTGACACTACTTGGTAGCTCAACTTTATGCACATTTTAACATTTACTAACCATTTTGAATAGCCTCATATTTTGTTAAATATTAAAATCACTTTGCCATTTTTATTATTTTTCCTTGTAGATTTTCTTGTGTTACTGATATGTGTTTCACTTTATCTTTTGTATACAAATATATCTTACTCTGGAGCTTCCCTTTTCACTGTCAGAATTGTGTCTTTTGAGGACTAGTTTCCTGAGTAATATACATTTTCCCTATGCAGTCCTGGCTCATCTGGAACTCCCTAGATAGACCAGCCTAGCCTCAGATGGGCAGCAATCTTCCTGCCTCTGCCTTTAGAGTGTTCAGACTGCAGATGTGTGCCACTATCCTTAGCTTAAGTAACAACTATTTTAATTTCAGCTCTTTAAAGATTTTCTCTGTGATTACTCTTTGTGTGTGTGTCTTGTTAAAGGCAATCTCTTTTCATGTTAGGAAGATGGTTTGCTTTCTTATATCAAGATATTTTGCCCTTCTTATACATATAAATAGGTATTATTTATTTATTATTATTTAACAAATAAATAGGTGTTATATATAATATATATAACATATACATACAATATTATGTATTTTACAGTTAGTTCTTTGACAATTTGATACATGTATGTAATATAATATATTCTGGTTTTTCTTTCCTCCCAATCTATCCTATCTTCCTCCCATCCCTATTAAATCCCATCTTCCCTGCTTGTTCCTTTCCCAGATTCATGACTTTTTTTTTTGTAGTACGACCCTTTTATTTTACTCTGGTTGTGTGTGTGATCATAGTATTGGTATCATCCATTGGGTCATGGTGGGGTTACCAGTGGGTACACAATGAAGGTAGGGACTCTCCATATCCCTGAATATCTATCCATAGAATACATCTCATCAGTTAGGGTTAGGACCTCCCCAATCCTTGCCTAGGTGTTGATAATCCCATTCTTGTGGGGACCCAAAACAATCGTCTGTATTTTTTGAGAATTCATGAATGAAATAAGCTGTGTATTGCCCTAAAGACGGTACTTCACAGCCCCTACCTTAATCTTTCAGCTTCTACAATGGTTCTGCAACCTCTTGTGCCATGTTCTTTGAGCCTTAGAGGGGATGGTATAAATGCCTTGTTTGATGCTGAGCACTCAACCATTACTTATTCTCAGTATTTTGTGTAGCCTTCCTTTTCTGCCTGTGTCTCAGATCACTGCAAAGAGGCTTCTCTGATTAAGGCTGAGAGTATAATTGTCTACAGATATAAACACATGGGTTTAGAAGGTTGCTCGATATTTGTGAATATAGCTAAACAATATAATTAAGTTCCTCTCTACATCCTATAAGCTCTGCTGTGGAATTTTGAGTGAGCTTACAGTGTCAGGTATGGAATCCCTCCTCTGAAGTGGGCATTTTCAAGGAAGAATATTTTTCAACCATGTAGGTAGTTTGCTTCCAAATTCTATATTAATAAATGGAGCACAACCAATTTACTGTTTTATCTAACCCAGTCCTGAGATCTTTCTTGGGCCTCTATTTACTTTCATTTTGAGACACGGTCCTATTAAAATGCCCAGGCTAATGTTCAACTCTCTCTGTAGCATAGGCAGGCCTTGAACTTTCATTCTTCCTGACATTGGATCTTGAGAATCTCAGGTTACTTGACTCTACCCACAATTTCTTTTTGTTTAATGTCTAAAATATACTTCAAGTTCATTTTCTTCTTTTTCAGTGCATACTGAGTAGATTTTGTATCATTTATTGAAAAGGTTGTTCATTTTTCTTTTCCTCACATATAATTACTGCTGATTGTCAAAGTGAGGGTCTATAATGTGTGGGTGGTTTTCTGGGTCCTCTTCCCCATCCATTGCCCTATTGATCTAAATTTATTCTAGGACTGAAATGCATGAGTTGCTTAAATTAAGGAAGCTTCCTATTATTTGTTTCCATATCCTCCCCTCTTTCTCGTGTGTGTGTGTGTGTGTGTGTGTGTGTGTGTGTGTGAGCCCAGACATGCACAGGAGCATGTGCTTTGAATAATGAGTGATGGTTGACTTTCTTTGAATCCATTTCAGTTCTTTACTGACATAGGGCATGACTTTATCCTTTATTATTTTACTATGAAAATGATTATCGTTAAAACTTACACCAACTTTGTCATCCATAGTGAACCCAAATCTATTCTGATGTGCAGTGTTCTTTGCATTTTTTTCTATTCTGTTGGCCCCTATTGCTATGAATTTTGAATCTTTTTAAGGGAATAATCCCATGATTTTTTTCTGAAAGTATATTGTAAGATTTAGTGTCTTTGCTCTTTTGTATCAAAGCTTCAGCTGAAAACATGGCCCTTTTTATTATTCTCTTGTGGGGACCTAAAAGCCCCACCTTGTATAGGTCCAAAAGGAAGTTACTGGGGGCGCAGCCTTGCTTGCTTTGAAAGTGTGAAGAATACTTCCGCACTGCTGAGGAGTGCAGGATCAGCGTGTGACCATCCTTAAGATACACCCTGGGGGGTGGGGAATTCCAGGTACCTTTATAAGCTCTATAATACCTGTAATAAATGAGTCCCTGCCTGACTAGATTCCCCATTGCGTCTGAGCGTCCCGGGGTATTGGGGGCAGCGTGGCATTGGCGAACGGCATGCTTACTCATCCCCAATCATCACTGCGCCGGGGGTCGCTGGTTCGAACCCCTGGGAACTGGTGCTCAACATGGGCTCGAAGGAAGGTGAAAAGAAGAAAAGAAAGAAGAAAGAAACACATGAGCGGGTCAGGGGCCTGTGGGAAAGCTGGCCGGGTGTTAACTCAAGGTGGGTGGGGTGGGCAGCTTTTGCCGCTGACCCTGTGCGCTCTGCTCCTCCCTGCCCTTCTGCTGGGGAGTCTCTGAAGCTGGCCAGGATGTGTTACTTTGGCCGCTTTTGGTTTCACTTTTGTTGCATTTCTGCCTTCTTCCTCAAACTCTTCCCATGATTCCCACGTATCCCCAGTAAAAACATTAGCCCCAAGTAGCCAGGGAGCCAAATGAATCACCTCTGCCCAAACCTTTTGAGCTATAGGATCTGACAAATCCAATCTCCTGCTTTTAAGCCTATCTCTTAGCGCTTTAAGCACAGGGTCTTCAAACTTAAAAGTTGTGTTACCCATATTTAGGGTCTTACTTACCCCAAACCTCCGATTGGCCCCAATCCGTTTCCCTTCTTTCTTCTTTCTTTTCTTCTTTTCACCTTCCTTCGAGCCCCATGTTGGGCACCAGTTGCCGGGGGTTCGAACCAGTGACCCCTGGGGAGGTGATGATTGGGGATGAGTAAGCACGCTGTTCACCAGCCCACGCTGCTCCCCAATACCTGGGGATGCTCAGACGCAACGGGGAGGCAGTGACTCATTTATTACAGGTATTACAGAGCTTATAAAGGCACCTGGAACTCGCCCCCACCCCCCTGAGGGTGTATCTTAAGGATGGTCACACGCTGATCCTGCACTCCTCAGCAGTGCGGAAGTATTCTTCAGACTTTCAAAGCAAGCCAGGCCGTGCCCCCAGTAACTTCCTTTTGGACCTATGCAAGGTGGGGCCTTTAGGTCCCCACATTCTCTGAAAATTTTCTTCCTTAAATGTTTGGTAAAAGAGGCCAGTGCACTATGTGGACCTCAAGAGTTTGGCAGGAGTTCTTGGAGGTATTCGTATCTTCTGTGTTCTTATTTTTTATTGAGTTATTAGATATTTCTTCTAAATTGAAAAGACTGTTCACATTTAGTTGTTTATGACATCACCTATAACACAGATAACTCTTATAGACTGTGGTGATATTAACACAGATAACTGTTATAGACTGTGGTGATATTTCTTCTTCATTCCTGATGTTGGTAGCTGTGTCTTCTCTTATTTTCCTATAAACTAAAAGCTTGTCAATTTTCACAATATTAAAAACAAAAACTGTCTCCTTTTAATATGTCTGTACTCAATATTTTCTGATTTTTAAATTTCATAACCATCTGTTCCTATCTTTATGATTTTCTTTATTTTAAATCCTTTGGACTTATTCAATTTTTTTTCTAACACAGGTAGTAGTTTTTTAGGCTTCATTTTTATAACTTTATTTTTATAACTTTAGAGATGTGACATTGTGCATGCAAAATCTAAATTGGTATGTGTAATTTTTCATTAGATGTACTTGAGGAAATAGTCTAATTATTAAGATTTTTTCTATGTCTGTCTTACTTAAAGGTATGTGGCATGTTTTCATATTATTTGAGGAATTTTTCCTATTATTTTCATTAGTCAGATATATTATATGACATGATCTAGACTTGATTTGGCCTTTAAGTGGAATTGTTCCTCCAAGAGGTCTTACTGTTTGTTGCTGATAGCTGACTGTACTAGGAGCTGACAGTCTTAATCCAGCTAGAGTCTCACTTCAAGATTGGTCCATTTCTAATTCACCTCCATCTCTTAGGTGTTAGATATTCCTGTGTTGATCTATCCAAAATTGTCATATGATTTCAAGGACACCTTCCATTTTTAAAGTTATAAACTCTATACTTTTTTCTCCAATCTCTGAAAGTACTTAGATTTTCAGCCCTCCCTTTGAACCTAACACAGCAGATGGAGGCTCATTTCTCTTTTCTTCTCTACATCTCCTGGTCTTGGAACCCCAGTTCTATTCTCTTGGCATTGGAACCAGTTGTGTTACTGTTTGGCTATTTTTAAACAAATTATTAGAATCCAAATACAGTAACCTAGCATCCAAGATGTCAGTGCATTTACAGTGAAAACTACTTAACTTATATATCCTAAAATACTTTATTTAGTGTCACCAATGTGTTATTTGTGCATACACAGTTTTATAGTAGAAACAAAATTACAGTAAGGAGCAATTTGATGCGCATGAACTTGGATAAAGCAAATGTTTTTGCATTATAATATCAGGTGATACACTTCTTCATTCTGAGAATAGCTTTGTCAGGGCAGATTTGGAGCCAGAACTATGTCAATAAGATGCTGCTAATAGAATATTTTTCATATTTTTATAGTTTTTGGTCAAACAGAATTTTGCAAGGTTGCTTTCTCTGCCCTGTAATAGGAATATGATCTTACATCAGATTTTCTAAGGTCTCTGGAACACAAATTTTCATCTGTAAAGTGAAGTAGAATAATACTTTTTATAAGACTCAGTATAAAAGTGTATTATTTAGTTGAATCATTCATTGATTTATTTTCAGTGAATTTTTATGATTCTCATATGATATTGTTTGATGATATTTAGATCTTCTCCTTGATAAAACCATATTTTATGGCTCATAAAAAGAATATACACTTTCTAACTGGTAGTTACACTCCCATTCAGGGAAGTATCTTATCTCTTTATGTATTTTTGACCACTTCATGCTAATTTGATACTGATGATATTGAGATCCATCTATAAACTTCATCTTTTTACTATTGCAGATGTTTCTCATTTGGAATTGAAGAAGGTGCCTCCACCAGTTTAATAAAAGGCATTGCCCAGGAATCATGGGGCTATCCAGAGTTTATCCCAGGCAAGGACAGGATGCAGACCAAAGTGAGGACCAGGCTAATGTCCAGAGGTGTCCATTCAGAAAAGTAGGAAACAGGGTGAAGACAGAGATGCAAAGGTGTCCCCGACCGCTTTCCGTCTCGCCGGCAAGAACGACGCGGGAGGACAAGTCAGGATCCTTCTGCAGCAGTTTATTTCATAAGCCTCTTACATAGCACACTAAGGATGAAGACCGAAGACGCCGAGAAGTGGGAGAGCTGTTGCTTATATATGCCCTAAAGGTCCCATTTATGACGTATAAGAAGCGGATTGGTTGCTGGAGATCATAAGAAGCGGATTGGTTGCTGAAGATCACGCCACGGGAGGAGGCGAGGGAGAGCAGGCTCTTGTGCACGCCCCTTATGGGCGCAGCAGGATGTTTACTGTTAAGAAGGTCCGGATACCGGCGCCATCTTGTAATGGCGGCGGAGGCTGTGGCTCTCCACAGTAGGGTTTATTCCAGAGTCAGAAGCTTTGTTTCATCTACACTCATCATGCTATTTTCTCTTAATAAGATGGTTTTCCATAAATGCTAAGTGAAGTAATACAATAAAATTATAAAATTAGCTAAAAGGCCGTGCATGGTGGTGCAAAGCCTTTAATCCCTGCACTCAGCTGGCAGAGGCAGGCAGATCTCTGTGAAATGGAGATAGCATTCTAGGCCAATGGGGGCTATAGCAAATTCTAGGCCAATGGGGGCTATAGGAAGACCCTGTCTCAAAAAAAGAAAAAAAATAACAAAACCAAACCAAAAAACCAGAAAACATAAAACAAAAAGCTGGGATATGTGTGTGTGTGTGTGTGTGTGTGTGTGTGTGTACACACAAGCCACAGCACATGTGTGGACGTCAGAAGACAACTTGCAGGGGTCAGTCCTCTCCCTCTACTATATGACTTCCAGGAACTGAACTCGGGTCACCAGGCTGAGCGGCAAGCACCTTCACCAGCTGTCACTAGCCCACATCGTCATTTTCAAGCATGGAACACACAGCACAGAAATGAGACCCTGCCTCAGAAAGAAGATGGGAGAGAACAGACTCCTGAAATTGCCTTCTGACTCCAACATGTAACCTTCCCCACCAGCTGCCACACATGCAAATTTTTGAAAAAGAAAAGAAAAAGAATCCCAAGAGCAGCAGCTGAGGCAGCACCCGCGCCCACAGCACGCAGAAGTCTCTCTGCCCTGAGCTTCTGCTCTTCGGGTTCTGCTCAGTATAATGGGATCACTGGGCAGGTCTGTCCCTGGGAATG